AACCAGGGGTGTGACCACAAATGCTTTGGTCACCTATGAGGGCAAAACTCAATCCCTTAGTAGAATGGTCATATTCTTATCTGTGCTTAAAAATTATTTTTAGAGCCAAACAAAGAAAGTTTCCTACCTTCCTTCTCACTGAGTGTTCAGAGGTTGAAATGACGATTTTACAATCTAATGAGCAATAACCTTTAGAAAGGTTAAGTATAATTCAGCACCAGTAAGAGGAGAGAGGGGTTCTGGTATGGTGCTGTAGGATAATGTGCTAGACTGCAAGGTCAGTTTGAGCTGCAAAGTAAATGGTTCAAACCCACCAGCTGCTCCTCAGAAACCATGTATAGGATCACTATGTGTTGGAACTGGCTCAACGGCACTTAACAGCAACAACAAGAGAGACACGACTCCTAGTGTGGCACCGTAGGATAAGCACTGGACTACTTAACTACAAGGTCAGCAGTATAAACCCACCAGTCACTCCTCAGAAACCCTATATAGGGTGGCTATGAGTTGGAAACAGCTTGACAGCGCCTAGCAACAGCAACAAGAGGAGTGGTAAGGGACCCGGGTGGCATCATGTCTAAATCCAATTGCTTGATGTTAAACAAAACATTAGAGGCTCAAACCCACCAGCAGCATGAAGAAAGACGTGGAAACCCTCTGGGGAAACCCTCTGGGACAGTTATACTCTGTCGCAGGTTTTCTGTAAGTTGGAATCAACAACAAACAACAAGGGGCAAGATTTGTCCCTTGGGTGTAAACCACATTGCCAGCCCAAAGGAAGCAGAGCGCCAATGTGCAGCTGGCATGAAACATAGATTTGTACCTCTCCCTCCCCCCCAGCCACCCACACATCTGGACTCTGTGCATGTGTTTAAGGTGCCAAGTCAAACACCCTGGAAAGATGAGGCCCGGGAGGGCCCTGTGGCAGATTGAAACCTGCCCTGAAATTTGAAAAGGGAATGTGTACGGGGTACTTACCTACCAACCATTTGGAAAAGTCTTACAGTGAAAACTAAGATCACTGCTGGGATCTTTTACCTATAATTATGAAGGTGCCTCCAGGGAAGTTTTGGGTAGTACAAAATGTTCAGACACATTCTGGGAGAAAAGTTTTAGATCAGTGGTTTTGAACCTTCCATTAATTTTTCCCCGGTGGACTAATGTTTTGAAAGATTTTGTCTATCAAACTGCATGTTAAAAATAATTCTTTCCATATGTGTAACTGCTGATCCAGATTTTACTCAAAGATCAGTAATTTTAAGAACGTTCCTTATATTCTGAAATGCATCAATCACAGCTGGAGTTGGGAGGCTAATTAACAATAAAGTTAAATATTCATACAGACAATTATGCACTGCTGTCTGCTAATGAGCACCTAATTCTGGCCATCTCTCTGTATGATAAGGTGCTCTGGTGGCATAGTGGGTTATCCAGTGGACGGCTTACCACAAGATCAGCAGTTCGAGTCCACCAGCCACTCCGCAGGAGAATGATGATGCTTTCTGCTTCTGTAAAGACTTACAGCCTCGGAAACCCTATACAGGTTGCTATGAGTGGGAACTGACTCATTGGTACACAGCTCAGTTCAGAGCTGTGTACCAATGACGGGGCTTTAAGGAGTCAATGGAAAAATGTGATTAAAAGATAATGGAATATTTTCATGAACGTTTTAAAGTCCCTCATATAGAAAATGTAGAAATGAATATAAGAAACACAATTCAAAACCTGTAGTAATTAAGAGAGTTTACATAAAATTTTCATTTTCTTGTAACATATTGTGTATTTGGGTATACAAACAATCCACTTGAAATCTTAGTTGAATACGAGGAGTCCTCAAGTTATAAACGTCTGGCTTACTGACAACAATTTGCCTTTGAAGGCGCCCTGGTAGCATAGCGGATCACAAGCTAGGCTGCTAGCCTCAAAGTCAGTCAATCGAATGTAGCAGCAGTCACTTCTTAGGAGTAAGATGAGGATTTCTGCTCTCAGAAAGATTGATAGCCTTGGGAACCCTAAAACAGGGTCACTCTGTGTTGGAATTGAATCCGTGGTACACAACCACCACCCGCTTTTGCTGTTTAGGAATTCTGGTGTGGTATTTACTGTAGGGTAAATTCTGAATTGCTAACTGGATTGCTTCTCAGAAACCCTAGACAAGGCCACTCTCAGTATGAACTGACTTGACATCCCCAACAAAAACAACTGGCCTACTACTGTTATGTAAATTTGTTCTCACCAGAACCAACCCCTGCTCACAACAAATTCTTCATCACAATCACCTTCATGAGAATTTTTTTAAATCAAGTTGACTTATAACTTGAGGACTCCTCGTATTCAACTAAGATTTCAAGTGGATTATTTGTATATCCAAATAAACAATATGTTACAAGAAAATGAAAATTTTATGTAAACTCTCTTTTGAGAGTTTATTGATTGTCAAGAGTTTGGAAACCTCCAAAATTTTAGGGCTGGAAAGAAACTTGGGGATCATTCAATCTAAGGCGCTCAGCATTTCACATGCAAAAATAACCTCTCTGAAACTTGTTAATGCCATTGAGTAGGCTCAGACTCCTAGAGACCCTGAGTAGGGTTTCCCACAAGTGGCTGGTGGGTTTGAACTTCTGACCTAGTGGTTCAAACTCTCCTTGTGGACCAGTGCTGATCCTACAGCACCACTTACATGACTTTAAATCATTTGTAAAGTTAAGTTCAGAACTCATTCCATCACACCCCAATGCTTCTGGTAAGCACTGCATTATTTTCTTAACCATGATAAATAATTATAAATAAAATAAAGATATATTAATAAATTTAAAAATGAAATTTCACTTAAGAAAAATGTATATATGTTGTTGAGTTGGGTCTGACTCACAGTGACCCTGTAAAGGGTTTTCAAGGAGTAGCAGGTGGGTTTGAACTGCTGACCTTGTGGGTTCACAGTCTAGTGCTGACGTTACAGCACCACACCAGGACTTCTAAATTTATATATGTTGTTGTTGTTAAGTGCCTTCAAGTCGTTTCCAACCCATAGCGACCCTGTA